GCAAGACGGACATAGAAAAGAACGTTTTCCCCGTACATTTGCATCCATGCATTTACATTTATGCATTTACGGAGTAGCTGATAGCACGGAGTGGTCTGGCTGCACCGCCATAGCATCGTGCTAGGGAAAGGAAAGAACCCCGGCTTGTTTTGTATCTATTCAAACTACTCTGTGTCGACTTGGGTGGCTCTAAACAATGTGAGCTTGCTGTGGTGGCTCGGCCACATTAAGTCTACGCACTGGTCGAAAGCCTTCACAAACAAGTCACGGCGAGAGCCGAGCAGGTCTGACGCAACATTTCAGGAGGGTTGGTCAATCGGACGCTTTGGTTTCCGAAACGCCAGAAGCGATTTTGAGCAACGAAAGATTTTGTGACGCACACAGGTTGGTCTACGGTAAAACAAGGGCTGAAGCAGTGACCTCTAGTGGTAAAACTGTCAAACGGGAAACAAGAACTTTCAAGCCTTTCTTTATCGAACACAAAAGAAAAACATTCCTTCAGTCATTTGAAATGAGCTTTATGCAATTTAGAGAATGTGTTTAGTAAGCTTTCATCTTATACAAACTTCTCATTCCCCTTAAGGAAAATATATTACGTAAACGTAATATAATAACTTTTTTGACAAGTTTTTTTAGCCTCCTTGAAAACATGATTACAATACATACATATAACAACTGATATAAATCGATGTGGGACTGATCTTACTCTCAAATTAGTCACGAAATTATTGGAAAATATGATGGTTGGGATTTATATTTTGGTGAAATTTTTGAAAGATATATTTTATCCTGTAAATGTTTAAAAGAAATAGTAGCAGTTCAAGGGATTTTAAGACCCCCCCACCCTCAAAGCATACAGGAAAAAAAATTGAAAGAGGCCATGAATAATAAAAGAATATAAATAAAAAATAGGCTATATCAGGGCGTTAAGTCTGTCCCTTCCGGGCCACTGTAGCAAAACCTCTGGATATAAACTTCTATGCGATTTTTTATCCTCATACACTTCCAGGTTAAAGAAAATGCAGCTTTGAAACATAGAAGGCCTGTCTGCTGACGGACCACCCTGGGAGTGACAGTCTGGGACTGTGAGAGCGGATCCAGACTGGTGAGCTCTCCAAAAAATGACTGACAAGCCATCTCTGGGAGAGGCTCGCAGCGATAACTGCTCACTGCCAGCGATGTCCTTAAAAGCTAAAAGGCTGCCGCCGCTTCGGTGAATAAAGTTTCATATCCTGGTGCTTTTGAGAGCACCGAGGGCTGAGAGGCGAATGTAGGAGCGGGGGGCAGAGCCCGGGGGGCGGAGATTCCACCGATAGCTGCTCAGTTTTCACCCACGATGGGCACGGGACAATGGGGCACGGGGCGCAGAAAGGAAGGGAAATGAGATGGGAAATGAAGATCTGAGAACGAGTCCATTTTTCTAATGCACGGATGTGGGGTAATAAAAGAGGACCGAGAGGAGCATATGGCTCCAAACGGCAGCGGATTCTCGGGCAGAAAGAAACAAGTGATGTTGGAAGTCCTGCGGCCGGGGCCACTAAGCCCCCTGCTGCAGATTAAAGCCAACGGCAAACGGGGAGGGGGGGCGGGAGAGGTGTGGGGGGGGGGGGGGCGGGAGTCAAAAAGAGCAGGAGAAGAAGGAGCTACGGAGGGAAAATAAGAGCTCTGTGGCTTGGCACCGGTTCGCCGTGCAAAGCCATCGTGCGTGCTGTGGGAAGAGGAGGCGAGGGAGCCGGAGAGCAGCATTGGTGGGAAAGACGTGGAGGGAGAGACAGGGAGAGAGAGAGAGCAACAGTGTGAGAGGAGGGCAGGAGAAAGGAGCCCAAGATAAATGTTAAACTGAGGGGGAGAAGAGAAGGAGGGAAACACTTAAGCCGTGACCGTGGAGGACTGGCTCGGCTGGTGGGTGTGATTTTTGCCTGTGAGTGAGGCTGGAAAATGGAATTGTTGCGGTTGTGCCTGGCTCCTTCAGAACGGGGATGGAAGGGGAGGTGGGGTCCTCGCAACCACAGACTTTGTCATTGTTTCTCACTCTTTTTTTTTTTCTCCCTCTATTTCTGTCAGTTCCTCAATGCACCCAGACACAACGAGGACACCCATAATCCTCATTAGGAAACACGGAAATGTTTGAACGCCCAAAAGAACCCTGAAAAAAAAAGAATAAACCGAAAAAAAAAGAGAAAGAAACAGGAACAGCCCCTCATTAACAATCTTCTGCCACTGGATGAAAACAATATGGGGGGGGGAGAAAAAAGGGAGAACAACCCCAACAGTCTTGTTCTGAGAGGTTTTAGAAGGAGCCAGAGCAAAGGAGGAGAACAGAATGGAGAGAAAAAAACAGGAGGCAAACACAGAGGACCCATCAGAACACATGCAGAGGGGGAGAGCTTTAAGTTGAATTTTTTATATCTTTCCATATGCTCGCCTCCGCAGGTGATGACATCTTTGCCATAAATTTTCAATTAGCGTGTGGGCGTGATGGACAAAAAAAATAATAAAACTAAAAACGGGGGGAAAAGGGCGAGCAGCGGGACGGAGGGAAAGGGGCAGAGAGGGGGAAAACGGAAAGCAGAGCGGAGGTGTAACGCGACCCGGCAGAGCCCGCGCACAACAGAGACACGAACCGGGCGGAGAGATGACAGAAACAAATATCATCGATTAGGCCGAGACGCCGGGGGAGGGGGTGGGGGGGGTCTCCAGATATCAGACAGAGAAAAAGACAGGAAAGCTGAGATGTGGGAGGACCGTCGGACATGGGACCACATGCATCGGAGGCTGTCCCCTCCGACTGCCCCCCCCCCCCCCCCCCCCCCCCCCCCATCCCCCCGGGGGCTCCTGACCCCCCCCTCACGGCACCACAGCTGGACTCTGGCTAACTGTATCTGAGGCAGGAGCCCCTGACTGCAGCAGCCCCTTCTCACCACAAGCCTGTCTCTCAAAATAGCCTCTACATATACTGTTTGACTCATGAGGATTGCAGCTATGCTTCCTTTCTCTCCTTTACCCGACCAAGCGAGAGAACAGGAAACCTGCCCCCCCCTCCCCGTGCGATCTTATTATTCTTATTTTTTTTTCCACGGGCTGCTTTGTGAGCTTGACCAGCCGAACAGTCTGGTACAGCTGGTCTTCCAGCTTGTTTTGGACTGTGTCGGCCTGCGGGAGCACCAAACCATATCCTCGCAATCCCTTAACCCCTTTTCCCTCAGATGACCCAACGGCGAGGGACGTTTGTGCCATTGGCTACCCACCGCCGCGCAGAAATGCGCTGACAAACGCAGGCCCGCTAACAGCTGGCTCTGCAGATGATGGCATCCATCACATCTTGTGAAACTTAATCTCTCTGAGAGGTGGAACAGCTGCAGTGGCACGCAGGAACATGTGCAGGTGCACACACACACACACACACACTCATGGGAAGGACTTGTTCATCCAAAAACTGGCTTGTTACGAGGTCACCTCTGACCTATGGCCGTAAAATAGCCCAAGGACCACTTTCCAAATGTGCGAAAGGGAGGAGGAGGCTGCTCTGAAGTGGACCGTGACTGTATTTTTTCTTTAGCCGAAACATTTAGGACTAATAATTACAAACAAACAAACACCTAATTTCACCTTTGACTTCAAATGAGTAACATAACTGGGTAAAACACGACCCATTCAGTAAGCCTTGGAATATCTGCTGCTCTTAAGCTCCATGTTGGGAAAGACAACATCATCCATGGTCCAAACGTGCAGGTTTTCTGATGTGGATCGGGGTTAAGACCCGAGCAGAGAGCCAACCGGGGAGGTGAGCTGTGAGCGCGAGACCCTTCCTCGCCGCCGCGCCTCCTCCGTGCACGCCTCTCGCTTTCACCTAATTGCTGTAACGGTACTTGCATGATTGATTCGGAAGCTAGCGGAGTCTGTAAAAAAAGACTGAGGAAGATTGCTGACTGCTGTCAAACACACACATACACACACACACAAAGGGCTTGCAGCCCATTACAGCACATTATGGTCACTGAGGTACAGCAGCGCCATAAAGAGCGGCGTGCAGCTGCAGAGCAACCGGAGGCAAACGTCTCACAGGTCACCAGGAGCTCAGGAAAGCACAGGGGTCCCCACGTTTGGGTGTTTTCCAACGGCCTTTTAAAGATATGTTGGAATAGCTCCCACGCGGGCTGCCAGACTGAACCCCCGCTGGCAGACGGGGGTTCCAACACTTGAACGCACCGTCTGAGTCGGAAATATTCCTGTACAAATTCACACGACCCGCTCAAGACTGGCTGACAGCCATGACAGCCCTGTGAGCCAGGGGTCCGCACGCACCATTAAAACCTGGGGCCAGTCACTCCTGAGGACATGTCTTGGTTGAGGGGGGGGGGGGGGACACACACACACACACCACACAATAGCCCCTTCGGCAAAGCACCTAATGAAAAGGTGCTTTGCAGGCGGTTTCCAGCCTTCCTTAATCTCCAGTCAGCGCCAAGACCCTCATTTTCAAATGCCGCCCTGAAGCGGCAAAAAGCAAATTCGACAGGAGCACAACACAATTTTTCCCAATTGCACTCAATCATTCCAGACGCCATCAATTAGTCAGTGACAGGAGACAAGGGAACAACTAGACGCATGTTAATGTCAGCCTTCCAGTGAAGAAGGTGACTACAGATGGGTGCGAGTGACAGATGTTGCGATGAGCACCGCTGGCTGGGCTGAACTGAGATCAGCTGGAACTCTTGAATGACAGGCTGCCACGGGGCTCTTTGAGCCCCAACGTTGACGGACACCGCAGAAAAAGTGGGACTTTCTGGCTCCACTTCCGAAGCCGGGGCGACCGCCTGACACGCAGCCCGGGGGGAGAGAGGCACCGGCCGGGCGGACGGTGGGTGGGTGGGTGGGTGTCCCTCCCCCGGAACGTTCGGCTGCTTCGCCCGGGAACGCGTTACCGGGAGAACTTAAGTCTCCCGCCGTGGATGTCAACAACAACAACAACACAGAAAAATAAGGAGGCACGCGCTCACCATATCAACACCTTGCGAGAGAGCCGTCGTAGAAAAAAAGAAAGAAAAAAAGAAAAACAGCGACCCAAAAAGTCGGAGTTTGAATAGACTGAAGCTGTCCGTTCGTTCGTTCCTCCGTCCGTCCGTCCGTCGTCTGCCTGCTCAACATCCACCACGGCTGCAGCCCAAATAATCCACCACCGTGTGTTTCCTCCCTCTCCCCTCGTATCAACTGCTCTCTTTCTCTCTCTCTCTCTCTCTCTCTCCCTCTCTCGCTCCAGTAATTTTCTACTCGGCGTGTGTGTGTGTGTGTGTGTGTGTGTGTGTGTGTAGCCTACGTGTGTCCGTCTCTGTGACTCGTTGAGGCGGCCGGTGTGGCAGATAAGAGTGAAGTTACGGCGTTATTTTTTTAAAATTTAGAAATAATTTCCCTCCTCTATAAAGGCGGACGGCCAGCGAAACGCTCGCGACACCGTTCAGAACGTGGAACCGCCAAAAGGGCTTCGACTTCCCCTTAAAACTGTGACCCTCCAGGTGGAGAGGAAGGCCAGGTAGCCGGCAGGCAAAACCACAACCAAATTAATTAATCGAAAAAGATTTGACATTTTTGTCAAGTTTCATATTTCCTACCTGCGTTGCTACTGATTCGTGCTAAAATGTTTACGTCTGTGATACAGTTTGCTGAGTGCTGTTCTGTGCTGCTTGTCCATAGTTGCTGGTTTACTTGGTTTGTTAAATTACTGTTGTTTATTCGTTCACTTTCTGTACCTGTTGCGTGCTCTGCCCCCCCAAACATGTCAAATTTCTTGCATGTAAAAAATGCTTTGTCCAAAATGAACCAAATTTAGATCCAGACGTGCGCTTTTCTTTTCAGTTTCAGACCAAATTAGGATAAAAGCTGTTTGGACTGATTGAGGTTTGCTAGCAGTTGAGTCAAATTTGTCAGCACCCCACAAAAGAAACCAAAAACCTAGCCATTGAAAAGAAAAAACCCCTCTAGGATTAAAAATAATCTCTATTTCAAGAGTGACCTGACAGAGGTAAGTGCCTTCTCAGGTCAGCTCAAATAACAATAAAAGCACACTAGACAAGCAAAGAGGGAATATCATTCTGCAGACTATTACGGTGATTACTAGGTTTCAGCTGGCAACAATTTAATGAACCCTCACTCGCGCAGTGTTTCTCATTTTTTAAACAACCCAGTTGGAAGACCTGTGGTCAGGGGTTATAGGAAAGATATTACTCTTTCAGAAAACCAAATTATTGGTCTGCATCAAGCAAACAACTTAGGATGTTGAAACTGAAACTGTCAATGCATTATTAAAACATGAAAGGATAGAGGTTAACCATCGTTTAGTCGGAGGAAACGTGGCTGGAATAAACCTTTAACGTGTTTAAATGAACTATTTAGACATAAACAGACCAAACGGAACTGAAGAGCTTAAACAGTCTTAAGCAGCCCTGAGAAAGTTATTTACAAAGGGTTAATAAAAAGTCAGGCATTTTGTTCTAAATAGCTTGGTGATCTGCCCATTTAGCAGTAATGTAGTCAAATGAGTCCAATCCACCTTGTTCTAGAATAACAAGTGTCTCATGGCAAGCTAAACTTATCATTTACAGCACCTGTTTTACAGCTGTAGTGGGAGTGTCATGATCTGGGGTTGTTGCAGTTGGTCAGGTATAGATTCACTAACAGTGTGCCCAATAGATTAGGTCGGTATACAACCTAAATATCAAGAACTACTCGGTTTTTCCACAAATATATCTTTCCTCTCCAGTGGCAGAGATGAATCCTGAGATGACGGTGCCAGGATTGTGAAAGAGAGGCACAGCGCCTGACGTTCATACAGTGATCAGCCTCGGCAGCTTTCAGGCCGCAACCACTACTGAGAATCTTTGGGACTTGCTGGAGAAGACTTCACACGGCAGTACAACTTTCCATTCGTCAATCGAAAGTCTTGGCAAAAACAAGCACCGCTGTAGAGAAATGTCTCGACGGTGCAGAAGAGAATTGAATCGGTGCCTCTGTGTTGCATCCGTGTGTGTCACGATCGCAACTGACGGTGCTGCAAAAAAATATCAGTGTAATTTTTTTTTTTAATTAAACATGCAATGCTGTATAAGACTCATCAGATCACATGACCCTTTTTCATTGCTGTTGGTAATGTTTTTTCGTAATCGAATGTTTATGAAAGTACTAAATAACACAAGTCAACGCAGGCCAAAAGGGGGGGAGGTGGGGGGGGGGGCTACGATGACACTCGCAAACAGAATTTTTGGAATTTGTGTGACGAAACAGACTCCCAAAAATAGCAGTGATTTAACAGCTGATTTCAATTATAGGGAGCAGTATTCTTAAGGGTCTTTTTTTCTCCAATTCAGTGCTGACTTTGGGGAGAGATTAAAAGAAAAATCCTGAAAGAGGTCAGAAAGTCCCTGTGCCTTTTTAAAGGATATGGTCTGTTGATGAGATCGGAGCAGACCAAGAATAACTGTATATTGTCAATGAAACCAATCCAATGTTTTGAGTTTATGAGAGGACAATGCAGACCACCCAACAGGAGCATGCAGTGTCCTATGGTGTATGAGTGTGCTAAGGTTTGTGGTGGACCTTTCCCCAAGGGAAATATTCTTTCCTCAATTATTTTTGGGGAAAATCTAACTCAATTTTAGATCAAAATCTTGCTTGATTTTTGGCAACAGGCTCTGTGGGAAAATGTCTGGATTTGGAGATTATAAGAGTGCCAATCAAAACCACAATTTATCTGTAGAGACAAGCGGAGCTGATCTTATCTCCAGTGAGCAGCAGCTCTTCATAGGCTGGGATATTGCCTGCATATTTTGTTATTTGGGGGCAACACTTTCAAAATAGTGTTCTGTGAATGTTGAAGAGTCAACGGGCGGTTCCTGAAGGGTTCACGGAGAAAAGATGTGGTCATATATCACTATTATTCCACAGAACAGATGCGAGAAACGAGTTCCCACAGCTGACTGAGAGCCTGTCCAGATGGAGCTGCCCAGAGCACTTAAGGCGCACGGCACAGTAATGCCAGTACAGATGAGGGTGATTTTAAATAGCCATGCTGATTTAAACAAGTTTATCTTGGGGGGGGGGGGGGGGGGGGGGAGCAGGATACTGTTAGTTTGGGAGCAATTCTGCCTCAGCAATGGGAGACTTCTGGAAGATCCAGAAGAATATACAAACAGTTCTTTTTGAGCTACAAATCAAATTATGATCAAGTTACAGTTTATTACCTCACTGTGCTATAAAGGGATTATCAGAGAGATAGCACACCCATTACTGGATGCCAAATGACTGCTTTGGAACATTCTGACACACACATATAAAGAACACACTGTAAAGTTCAGCTACAAAAAATTCATCTTCTTTATTCAGAAGACAGAAATGCCAGATAATGAAAGGATTCTCCCCATGTTGTGTTCACAACATCCAGCCAAGAAAATCCTCCAGGTGGAAAATTATGCAAGTCCACCGTATAGGAAGGATTTTATGACAGCAGATACAGGGGATCCATCACACGGTACAAACAATACAACAAACGTAGCCCGATAATGATATAATGAATAGAGGAAATCCATTAAAGTTTCACAAAGATGAAAAATATGCCATATAAACATAGTGATGGGGGGAATAAAGCAGCACTGGCATGCCCTCCAGAGCTATGTTTGGATTCAAGGATCTAAAATTGTAACAAAAACTGTAGTAGTTTAGGCCCTGAATGCACAGCCTTGCATTTGCCAAATCCTGCATGTGAGGATCAGTGACCTGATAACAACCAGTAGGAAGCGCTTATAAAAAGTTAGAAGTTTTGATAGTTTGTCGATCTGACACTAAAATGTGTATTAACACAATGATTGGGAGGAAAGACATCAGGATTGTGCTTAAGAGAACAAACTAAAGAATGATTATAAGACCAAATTATCTGAGGGACCAAGTGGAAAACGTCCATGAGTTACACAAGACCAACATCTTAGATTACAGACTAAATTCTTAAGATGAGGTAGGCCTCTAAGCTAGTTGTTCATAAATGGATGGCCACAAATCTCGCAGAGTTGAAGCAATATTGTGAGAAATATTGGGCCAAAACCCAACTAAAACGATGTCAAACTAACGGTATCTTATAAAGTTGTCCAGTGTTTTGCTTTTTTTTTTAACCTGGTAAGGATGATGCCATCAATTATCTTTCGTCCCTCTTGTACAAACAAAAAAAATGAGTTGACGCAGTGACATGATAAAAAGAAGGCAACAAGAGCAGTAAGAGTAAGAGCTCTCTGCTTTGGGGCACATCCCCGCACCACATACGCACACACACACACAGAAAGACACATTCACCTGCCCGCACGCTTATCTGGGTTCACTGACCTAGAACACCAAACACAATCAGAGGTTCAGTAGATTCCCATCAGCACAATGTAAATGAGACGGAGGGGCGTGAACGTGCTTTTCTTGCAAAAATCTCCCTCAGCTCTGCTAGCGCCAGGAAAAAAAAAACGGAAAAAAGAAAACGCCACCTCGGGGCAAGGCTGGGACAGGCGCGCTCTCGGGAGGGGTGGATGTGAATGTGCACATCCACCGCCGCCTGCACCGACGCTCCGGAGATCATCCGGCAAATAATGGACGAGGGAATTGCCACAATGACGGCGTAAAGCCCTAAAACTGAGCGTGCAGCTGCGTGCGTTGGGCCCCAATGGCATGGCTGCACGCATCGCATGCAAACACGCGGTCGCACTGCTTTTGTTTCCATGTGTCGCACTCCATGCCCTCTCACAGTCAACAGCAATCAATACAGCTGTCCCATGACTCCCAAATACATATTCAGGCGCCCCGCTGATGAATATGTATGGATTTATGAGCTCGATTCTTCAGCGTGTGCGGATGCATGGCTGTATTCTGCATGGGGAAAACGCGCGGCGGCACATGTTCACTCTGGTTAGCATGCAGCCCCGCAGGCCCAACGGCACATACGACCCGGTCGGTCATTTACAGACCCGCCCGTCCCGGG